CTTGGTGTGCTCGTCTACTGCCTGCTAACTGGCTGCTTCCCCTGGGAGGAGAGCACTCACGATGATCGTGGCTACCGAAAATATAAGGAGTGGTTTGACCGTGAGGCCAAACGTGACGAGAAAATGCGAGATGGCGAGTGGAGGGGTGAAGAGGACGCTGATGATTACATTATTATGGAGAGAAAACAAAGAGACAATCCTCCTCCTTCACAGTTTGAGGGCCTCAGCCCATTAGTGATGACTCTGTTGAAGGAGCTACTCCACCCTGAGCCCAAACACAGAGGGACTCCAGAGGAGATCCTGAGCTATCTGGGAGGGCCGTGGCTGATGGAGACAGAGAGAGAGGAGAAGAGGAAAGCAGAGGAGGCGGAGAAGGAAGCCAGAAAAATGAGGGAGAGAGGGGGGGTAGAAGAAGAGCTGCTCAGGGAAGGAAGGGGGGAGAGATAAACTTTGTCTTTATGAAACTGTTTAAGCGTTTTCATATTTTTATAAGTACCCTTAATACTCAAAGTGCAACTTCATTGTACATATTTCTGTTTGTGAACGTTTGTAAATATGTGTGTTTGCGTGAAAATAATACAAGAAAAGTGTGATGTCTGAACAAAAAGCTGTATTATAATGCTATTAAAGACTTGTGTTGGAATGTTGGTTTATGCAAAATAAATCAGTGGTGTTGCATGTGTTATATAAGTAGCAAGTCAGGCTGACAATAAAGAGGATTTGCAGATGATGATGGTTCAGATAAAAGCTACATTTGAAGACACTACAAAGCACCCTAGACTTTATTCTGTTTAGACAGCATTGCATACAGCACGTAGACAAGCACATCTATGGAAATTATGACATCTTGGATGTGGTGTTGAAGCAACAGGTGCAGCAGAACAGCAGGAGCACATCTAAAATTGGACTAACAATACAGTCTGACAGCGATACCAGCATGATCTTCTTTCGTGCTGGAGTGATGAAAATCACAGGCATGGCACCTATACTAGGAGAGAAAAGGATTTTAGGGCTAAAATAACCCCTTCATGCTGTTCTCAGTGATGCCCACTGTAGGTGATGTACTGACAATGAAACACACCTCATGGGAAATCTGCAAGTGGCTAGTTGGCCTCAGTATGGATTCAGGAGAGAGCTGTCCTGTATCTGTCAGAGAGAATAATTACTTGTTGAAAGATCACCTGGAAGCCTGCATACAGAACCCTCCGAAATGGATTTCACGGAATTGCTGATGGCGCCTTTGTTCACATTTGCCGTCACTCAGTCATGCTGTGATGTTAACTGTCCAGTAGTATGTAAGAAAAAACACGACGCAGTCCTCACCCTGCCAGATATTAGATGGTGCAAGAACTATTTAATGTGGAGTAAATGTACCATTTGGACTGGATCCCTGCTGGTAGCGAGCTGCTAATGCGCTGTGCGTGAGTGTGTGCATGCTGGTGGGGCCTGCGCTAACCCCTGCTAAGGACCACTCCAGATGGATTTATAAATAGACTTCTGGGCCATCTATTTACAAACCATGCAAATCATCACCTCCCTCTGACTATCTGCACTTCACAGCCTTCCAAACGCAAAAGTCAGGCTGCCTTGGCGCCCACAGGCCTGTAGCAGCACAATCTGATGGAACACTTTGACCCATCTTGCCCATTTACCCTCATCTCGTTTTATCTCTGGCCCTTGTGCAGATTACTTTCCCCTGTCTTCTGCCGTGCCACTTGGACCTGGTCTTTCCCTTTCATCTTTGCAATTACAGTCAGATCTGTTTTCTTCACACTTGACGGCTGTCATTCCCTCACTCTACTTACTTCTTTTTTTAATCTCGGATCACGGCCGCGTATCAGCTGTGTCACACAATACCAAATGTTTACGTGAAAACATTTGTTATCTCCTTTAGCAATGGTGGTTTGGGATTTACTGGTTTCTGGGAACCAAAGCTCATGTGACACTCAGATTGGGCGTTAAAGGAGGACCTCAGCCTGACAAATGGAAACACATGGTGCAGACTGCTGAGACAATCGAGTGCCAACACAAAGATGCTGATCGAGGTGCAAATCTGTTGGAGGTTCAGAAGGACAGATAGCGGGGATGATGAAAACAGGAGAAACAAGGACAGCTACACATGTGGACTACTGCTGAATTGCTGAACCAAGCTGGAGATGCAGCTTAGTTTATTTTAACTCACGTATGTACTTCCAAGTCACATGTCATGACAGACCTTTGAACATTTGTCAAGTTGAAAGACACACTCCCACGTCCAGAAACCAAAGAAGCTAGTATTTAGATGTCAGCGCCATTGAGATTGCGTGTTACCAATATTGCATGAAGCACACTTTAGCTGGAAAGTTTAAACTCTGTAAAGGTCTACATCATCACATTCGCTGCCTTCAAGCTACCTGCTTATTTATCATCCTTTACATTATACAGCGTTTGCCTTCTTTCTGACTCTGAGAGGACATGCATTAGTGTTTTTAAAAGTGCATTTTTACAAAGGTGAGACAGAGGGCACAGAGAAAACCAGCCTGAAAACTCCACACTATGTAACAGATATTTAGACAGATATCTGATAAAAGTTTTCACCTGTCACCAGAATGAGGTCTGCAAAAATGCACGGCGATATAAGAGCCAGATTAACTGACCAAATGAAATGTTCATATAGCCAAATGAACGAAATGTACCCCAACTTGGAAGCCAAACCCTCTGCCCATCATGGCCTAATATTTCCACTGCAACTTTTTCCCCCACCTGGCAGCATCTTACAGCTCAGCAGGTTTAATTACTTAAACAGGACTGGCAGAGGTGATTCTGGCTGACTGGGAGAACCTGAGATTATCAGTTTTGAACAGCGAGAAGCATCAATGAGCCACACTGGATCTAGTTTAGAAAACAAAGTGCTTAAGTGTGCTGCGCTGCTGGTTTTCGTGCACAGGAAACACAGCAGTACTAGAAAAAAACAAAAATCTATCAGCTGGTTGAAATCCAGAGACTGTAAGCGAGACGAAGAGCGAAGGCGAAGCATGTTGGGGTGAAAGAGAGGAGCGAGAGGGTATGCATTGCATTGCCGGCATGCCTCATGCAATGCCATACAACTAATAAACAACTAGAGTTTTTATCATGTGTTTACAGTCAGGCATGTTTTGCCTTAACCATTGCTGGTCCTTCTTGCTCAGCACCTGACCCCTTTAATCCTCTTTTTTGTCTTCATTTTAGCTTTACTTTGTAGCTCCTGCTACAGAAGTGTAGACCGAGGGGCAGTTGGATACGTTCGCAGGACTGATCGTGCTTATTGGCTCCTCTCCTCGTCTCTTTTGCTTACACTGCCTCTATCTGTCAAGCTGTCATCATCCTCACCCTGTCGACCTTGTTAGGGGCATCCCGCAGGCTCACCCTGGAGTCCGTGTAGCCCCAATATGTCAAGGGAGATGATGAGTGTGTCCCTATTGAGCTGACTTGGCCCACCACAGGGTGAGAGCCAGTAAGACTTTGTAGCTTCAGGAGTATGCGTAGCAATATTTATATTGGTCAACTTCGTAGAAGCCAAAGAAGAGTCAAGTTTCACCAAAGCTGCTATAAAGGTCACAATGAAAGAAAGCTTTCAACACAATGAGACAAAGGGTCTGGAACAGTGGCCTTCATCTACACGGATAACACAACTCTGAACGATAGCTTAGGTATGTAATGAACTGTAGTCCACAGATGACAAGTTTATATACAGTAATAAAAAATGTCCACTCCCTGTCTAACTTGTGGTCTTCCAAGCAATTGTGATGCATCTCTTTGTTTCAAAAGAGAACAAACAGCGAGCTGCGTGAGCTGATGACAGAGTGTAAGTACTTTGGGCTTATCAGGGATGAGAAACCATCTTTGGAGCTACATGTTGTTATTTTCTTGAGAGCATTCATGATTAATTCTTACCTGTGTAATCTGTAAATACAGACAAGGTCGATCGCCTTTAACTTCAGGCAATAAATTAAATAAAGGTCATAACATGATCCATTTCTCATATAACTTTAATTAAGTTAATTGTTTTCTACATCTTGCTAGTATTGGGTTGGAACTCCTTTTGCAAGCAGAACTGCCTCAATGAAGACAGTTTGAAATGATCTGAGCTTTGTGACATTCTGTGATGTGGTCATAAAGGCATGGAGATGATCAACAACAACAACAACAACACTCAGTTAGGCTGTGCTTGCGCTTGGTACTAAGGAACCCACAGTGTACCAAGAAAATATTTCCAACACTATTAATACCATTGATATAAGACAGGAGGGATTCATGCCTTCATGTTGTTTATCATAATCATGTCATTATCATTAATATGCAAATTGTCACGATGATTGATCATTCACCATTGATCAATGGCCACGAGAGCATCCTTACCTGAATGATTGAGCATGCGTCAAGACGATTGTCTGTTAATGGGAGGCACCACTTTCTTATGTGCATTGCTCCATCTGCTGGCTGTACCAAGTATTGCAAAAGTCAGATTTGGAGCTCATTCTTGACTGTTAATTTGTGAAATAACTACAAACATATGCCAGGAAATAAATGGCTCATGTTTACAGCCTTCTCATTTGTCACAGGAATACAAGAGGAAATATTACATTAAAGCTTTTTCTATCTCTTTTATCTTTGTGTGTGCTTTTTCAAGCAAATACAAAGAAAATGAGTTATTGAGCGTGTCTGTAACTCCTGTGCTCAATCTACCTTTATTCAGAGAAGGATAATTGCTGATGTATGCTGATGAAACAGTGAAACACAGGGAAGTAAAAATATATAAAGATGCACTACTGTGCAAAGGTTCAGGTAGCTTTAGTTCTTATCCATCACATGGAGGCCCCTTGAACTTACTCTGCATCCTAACAGTCATAAAGACCCACCTTTAGATTTGAGAATAATACAGTCCAGCAGACTGTTTACCTTTACAAAGTAAAGTGAGTATAGCGTGTTATCACAGCAATATAATTGGATACTAACCATCAGATATGACGACAAAGGCAGAAGATTTTATCAAATCAAGACATGAAAATAGCGAAAAGCATGAAAAGTGCCAGGGGAAGGAGGACAGGGGGAAGAGGAGAGGGAGGAGGAAGCAGAGGAGGAGAAGGAGGGTGCAGGAGAGGGAAGGAGGGGAAAAGAAGAGAAGACAAAAGATTCATAAAACTAAAGCAGTTGTGGACGACAGCAAAAGTTGTGAGTACAAGTTATGTTTCTTTTTCCACCTGATTTTTACACATTCTGTAGGAATTACACAGAAGAACATCTGCAGACTCAGGATAACTCACAGCCAAAGACATTAACTGGGTGATACATCCTTCTGATTAGATGTAAACACAAGTTAGGAGGAGAATGCCTGACTAGTTAACTAACTTAGTCAAAAAGGCTCTGTAGACGAGTGAAGGGTTGATTGCATGCGAAGTCCAGGAGACATAAAGAGTGAAAAAACTCTCACAAACGAGCCAACAGAGACAAACAAGCAGCTAAAGCAGAAAAATGCAGTGTTTTCAACTGAGTGATTGCAAATGTGTGACTCTGGGATGTATCGCTGCTGAAAGGACAAGATGTGAAAAAAAAACCCCACCATCGAGTTCAGATTGGCTGGCGATGATTGTACAGTTGGAAAGCGGCGATATGTTCTCTGAAAATAAAGCTGGGAAAGAATGTGAGAGCGTAACAGAGGAGGGGTGGAGGGGTCCTCAAATAGGCCACACACAAAAAACACATTCTTTTGTGAGAACTCACATCTTGGACTCCAAAGTTACTGTGACACATCAGGAGAGGAATTGTGCAGGGCGGGAGATGAGAGAGGGAAGGGGGGGGAAAGGAGGAAGGAAATCAGGCATCACTTATCTGTTTACAAGGAGTCCAATAAATACTAGAATAAATAAATGTAGGAAAAATGACATCAGAGGCTCTTGTGCGACACTGTGCTACACATCTGTGTTTTCAGCTGATGCAAAACTCTAAGGAAAACATTACCCTGAGCTGAAATGTTGTTAGCATTTATGTAACGGGATTAAAGGAAACATAAACAGTTAAGGAATTAGAAAAAAAATCATAGTGAGGATATTGAGCAGTTCCACTCTGTGAAATCATCCCGACTCTTTTCCTCTTCGGTTTCCTGCAGCTCGTAAAGTTCACCCCTTACAAGCTGAAGGAATGGGCAGCCTCCCAGTGGTCCTGCTCCTCTGCAGTTTCCAGGGTAACGTTACCAAACAGGACACACAAATCAACTTGTTTAATTATGGTTGAGTCGCTGTGTGTTTGCTTTTATGCTGCAAACCTCTCCCCTCATGCGGTTTCTGTTCCACAGCACTCACGGTTATAGCCCAAACTCAGCCAACTGGTAAAGCCCTTTTACTTTTGATAATGATGACAGACGTCTGCTACTCTTTGAGTTTTTCTCATTTATTCTTTTTCTTTTCTTTCCTCACTTCTAGAAGCACCTGGGAATGCCATACCAACCGGTGAGTATCTCCACTTTTAGGACTTTTGTGATTTACACAATATCAACATGACATGTGTCTCCGCTGTTATCACTCTGCAGAATGTAGGGAGGAGACGTATCCTTGCACCAGGATGTACTCAGTTCACAAGCCCATCAAGAGATGTATTGGTAGTCTTTGTCTCTACAGGTGATCTGCAAATCCTCTACAACAACACACTTTTAATTAGTCTTTTTTCCAGAAAAATGACTTACTTATTTTTAAAAACTGAGCAGTAAAGGTCTTACTTTTTCTTCATTGTTTTAACGACAGGTGGTGAAAGAAAACAAGGAAATGGTCTTGAGCAACAGTTCTCCAGGCTTTTCTTTGGACATTTTGGCTGTTTTTTCACACATTTTCAGTCCTTGCACCTGATCATTTTTAGAGGACTTTTATTTTTTGGTTGTTAAGCCACTTAACGCCGACCCATGAGTCATTCAATCATAAAAAGGCACCTGACTCAAGGGATGAACCACTATTGTGTCTAAACATAACAGACAGCTCAGCAAAGCAGCTTTAAATTGCATCTTTAGTCACTTTGTAACCAGCAGCCTGTCACGAAAACACATAATTTGTTGCCATTTCTGTAATTTAATCTATGCCAAAGATAACATCGTTTGACGGGCATAAAATAGTATTTTTGCACCGACAGGGTGATTCCCAAAGAGGTATTCCCTGAAGATGACAGCTTCATCTTTGCATCAGTACAAGTAGTAAAGTGAAGAGCTTTGAATGTCCTTCAAGAAGCCTGGAAAACTACTACTGAAGACTACTTAAATGATATGTCAACAGACACAGCTAGAAGTATAAAGTACTACAAATAGCGTCCTTAATTATTAGTACAATATTTGTGTAACAGTATTGAGCTCACCAGACTTTCATTACTGAACAGAGTTACCCTGTCAGCCTGTATCAGTATATCCATCCTCATAATGTTCATGTTTTACCCCGGTGCTCTCGCAGCCTCCCTCGTGTTTATGTGATCAACAAAGAGATCTGCGTGAGGACAGTGTGCCGTGAGGATGAGTATCTGAAAGGTGAATTAGTCTTAATGTATACACAGGTGACAAATTAAAGGAAAAGACAACACTGGAGCAGCTTCATTGCATCACTTCATTGGCAGTGATTCTCTAAAACAAATAACCAAAAAAATGTAATTTGTTCCCTCAGTTGATGATGCCAAAGAGTGCAGTTTAACAAGTTGGTACATTCATCAGCTTGATTTTGAGGGTAAAAACCAAATAGATCGCCAATAATAATAATAATATATTTGCTGATGCTGTAACGCTCACTTTTATTTTATTAAAATTAAACTTGGATCTTTTGTTTAATAGATGAAGAATGATAAAAATGACAGCAGGTATGAACCACACCACAGCAGGTCAGAGCCACAGGATCCCTCCACTGCAGGGCTCAGGTTTCGTCTTTCATTTGTCACCTGTCTGTATAAAGGAACAGTGATCTTACAGTCCATGAAAATATGCATACAAATGAATACAAATAAATAACCCTTTTTCCCCTTTCTTTACATTACAGCTGAATTATGCAGAGAGTTGTCTGGGTGGCCCAGACGTATCCAGAGGTCATCCAATAGCAAACGTTGTCGCAATCGTCGTGGCAACCCCCAAACCTGGGCAAACAAAGCCTGATCTTGCCTAGAATGGGCCCGTGACCACCGGGTGACGATGGTGCGACCCATGGGCGTCGTCATCGAAAACAGCCAATAAAAACACCATAAATCCGCTGCGCCACACCTGAGGGTCTCTTTCCTTTTCTTTCACGCGAGCACACACACACACACGTGTGCTGAGTCATATCTACATATGTTTATGTATTCGTCCTTTTACTGTGTGAGTATTTCATTTCGTCCGTGTGTATTGGACACAGGTCATGTCTTCCATGGTTTACGATCCATTTGAGGTACTGCAGTAATGGGCCTATAGGAGCACTGAGTCACTTAATCGTATAAGAAACAAAGTAAAACAAAGACCCACTCTGTTGTGGATTGTAAGGTACACACTGACAGTTCAGTATTATGTGCACTATTGTAACCAATAAAATATAATGGAAGTTGTTCACGAGATTATTTATTTTTTTACTACTCAATTTAAAGAAGAAGAAAAAAAACAACAACCACAAAAGAAAGTTATGGCCATTAAGTGTTTTCTTTATAGTTTTCTTTGCATATTCATTTGCACACACACTTACGGTTTGAATAACAGGTAACATCTGGGAGAAATAATTTAGACAATAAACAAACACTGACAAGCATCCTTGGGGCTTTACACTCACACACACTCTGTTCTCTGATCAACATCCATTATCACACCACTTTCCACTGCACATCTGTTACAACACATGTGCGTGTGATATCATTTTTTACATAATCCATCTCTGGGTACACAACAATATCACAACAAAACACTGCATCAAACACGGACTATCTTATTTCCACGTTGTATTTGTCTGCATCACAATACCGCTGATAGCTTAACACCTTGATATGGAACTGGAGTTCACATTTAACTCATCTGTACAGCACAACACGCTGTGCTTGAGCACGACCCGATCGCCCTTCTCATAAACACTTACGGAGACAGAAACACAGAGCGATTCACTGATGAGGAGAGAGGCCGTGACCTAAATGACTCACCAGTCACAACTTTAACAGCTGTGCTGAGTGAAGATGACATAACACGGACTAAATCATCTCTGCTTCCCCCCTGAGGCAAAGATAAAAGCACTTGATGCCTCTCCGTCTTTTGCTTACACCCTCTCCCATCCAGCATTCCTGCTTCCAAGTGTCCTGATTTATGGTTAAAACAATGCGCGCGGCTCCCGCGGCCCGTCCCCGGTGGAATATGTGTTTGACAGCTGCAGAACCGCAAGAGCCGAGCAGAGAGTGCTAAAGAGCACGGCTGCTCTGTAAATCAGCTGCGACTTAACAGGAGTCTTTCAAGTAAAATCCTTATGCGGTAAACGTTGCAATAATCTGAAGCTAGCATGAGCCAATCATGGCGTTCACTGCGGATTTCATGAATTACTAACTACACAGACAGATGCGACCGTCAGTCAGTGCATATAATCAGTCCCGCTGCTGGAGACTTGGAGAAACAGGACGTAGACCAACAACAATAATTACAAACCACTTACAATATATGTATATACACATTTAAAATAAATATTCTCTGTACATTTAAGTCATTCATGAACATTTCATTAGATTTCAGTAGATCATTAGATGTTGATGACAAGATTATGCCTCCCTTGATTTTCCTATTGTGTATCATTAGCAAATAAAACACTGTAAGAACGGGAAAATTGGCGGAATAAACTGTTACAGGGCGAATCTAGACAAATACAGAGAGTCCAAGCAGATGGAGTGAATGATGGGGATGCAGAGCCTGCTGAATATGTCAAGTTGGCCCGCAGCTGTAGCTGTAAGCGTAATTAAGACGGTGCTGTGAGGTCAGAACAAAGTAGGAGGAATTCAAGAGAAATAAAACTACGACAGGGGCTTACCCTGCTTGGCAGGGAGAGATACGGGACCCCGTAATCGGGAAAAGAAAGTTGCAAAAAGTGCTGCATAAATTTACAGAGAAAAGGGAGGAAAAAAACAGGGGGACTCTCTCCTCACTTCGGGGATGCAGAATCAAAGTCTCCCCACAGGTCAGAGTTGCCTGTCGAGGTGGGGTTGGGTGGAGCCACAGAGTTGGAGTTACTGGAGTCCAGGTCTAGCAAACACCCTGGCAGTTTGAAATCAAAGAAAAAGAGAGACGCACATCTGAAACTTTAATACACGTCATATGTTATAATCTGCAAACAAATTGTCTTTTTGAGGGATTAAAAAAGTTATCTGAATGTCAATACAAGGATTTCTCAAATAATACATCAGCTCTAAGCAATCGATAAAAATATCATTTCACCAGATAACAAAAAAATATTGTCCTACAACTTTTACTTGCACTGGTATTCGCACTATTTTCCAGTTTACCCTGGTGGTATCAGTGATGCACATGGTTTCAGTTTTATGCACTGAGCTTTCTAGATCTCGACCTCTGAAACTTCTGCCGCCACCCAAACACAATGGTGGTAAAGTATTGAAAATTTCCACTTGAAACTCAAAACTAGTGAGTCTTTTCCCACATTTACTCTGGACAAACCACACACACCGCGCCACTAACAGGACAATGATTTCAGATAGACAAGCTTTTGGAATGTTTTTCAGTGCTTTAAACACACATTCACCTCTGCTCTATACAGATGGCGGAGGAAATCTTACACAGGCATCTACAAATCTTAATACACGAAACCGAAACCGCGCGCATGATTAGATACCACTAGAAGAGTGTAGAAAACCATGACACAGTTTAGTTCTGTAAACATCTATGCTACAGAAGCTACAGGAAACACTATTTTCTAAATGAAAGATATTTTAAAATATATGTGTCATAGTTTTGGATAATAGACCTGCGCAACACTGTACTCACTACATCAACTATGAAGACTGACTTGTGCTTCAATGGAAACAGACAAGCTCAAGGAACTAATCTTCAACACCAAAAAAATAAGCCCTTCCTCTGATTCATTTCTGGAAGCATTTTTTTTTTCAGTTTGACTTCTGCTTTAAGCAGGTCAGATCCCCCATTGTAAATGAAAAAGCGGCGCCCAAACTCGAAGCATTAATGGAGTAATAAGGTTCACCTTCATTTGCACTATAAATCAAAAGAACTGCTTCTGACATAAATTAAAAACTGGGCTCAACCAGCAAAGTGCACAGATTCACGACCTTCACATTAACCCCTGAAATACACCTGCCGCTTGTCTGTGAGACTGTGTCTCGAGTGCGGTTTTCTGTTGCCTTTAGCACGGCTTCAAATCACAACAGGAGAGTTTCAGAAAACTGTGCATGCGGTCTATTATTTTGAAAAGTGGCCAGATTTCTATACCTGACTTCCTGCCCTCCTTATTGGCTCTGTGCAGCTTGACAGTCGTTCTATAAAAAAACTGACCCGATGCTATTTTAAGTATCGCAGACCAGAGCTGCTGCGCTGCACCTGGTGGAATTGCAAGCATCATTTTGAGCGTAGTAGTGACACAGCATTAAGTCAAATGTAAGTGCTGAAGAAGCCTATGCGGTGTTTAAAAAAAATTCACAACTTGAAACTCTTTAGGACTGTGCACAGATTTGTCATGTTATAAAACTGAAACTGAACAGCATTTCATTTCAACCGGGATGTTCTACCTTGAGTAGAACTTTTAACCAGCTCCTTAAAGCCCTACTTTTCTACAGAGTAACCGCATCAGTAATTTCCATCCACATATGCTCCTCCTGTCATATGGAGTATAGCCAGCGACTCATGTGACTCATTTGTTTTACTTTTGGGCTGCACATCACCAGCTGCTAGCATCTCCACCTTTGCAGCCTTCTTGAACTCAACGATCTATTTTTGCCTCGAGTGGTGAAATAAGTTTGTTGCTTCCATTGTGCTGTGTTTGGAGTTCAGTGAAGTAGCTCCGTCTTTTACTAAATCATCATCGGAAGCTGACATGCGACTCTCGCAGTCAGACATGCCTGGGCTTGTTTTCTTATTGTGCATGCTAGGGAATGTAAACACATGGCGCCGCTCTATCGCTGATATCACGATACGACGCTTTTAAATCACGTAAAAATTTATTCCGGTATCATACTGGACGATATGATATACCGCAGCCCTAGTTCTGAATCCTCCTTTATATCTTTTCTTAACCTCATAACATTGTCAATTGAGGTGAAGATTAAACATGGGGTTGTTGTTGGACTGTTACATACCAGAGTCACTTCCTCCTGCTGATGGTTGTGTGTTATGATTTGTTGATCTGGAAGAAGGGGGTGGAGCCAGTTTGCCCCCAGGGGGAGGCGGGAGGAGCCCAAAGCCGCCTGAACTCTGTGGACGAGACCTGTCCTTCTTTTTCGATTGCTAGATAAGATATAGATGGAAGGAAACAAAATCTGTGCATGAATGAGGGTATATCCAGTATGATTGATGCTTTTTTAAACCTAGCAGTAAATATATGTGATGCAATGCATTTGAGCTTCACAGACACATATTTGTACAGCTTTGAAAAAGGCCTAAACAAACACCACACTAGTACTATGAAACTCTATGAAAATAAATAATACCCCAATGTTCAGAGTAATGGTCTGTCCTTCTTTGAAGCCCAGGTCCAGCTTTGGAGTGGAGTCTGGAGCCTGAGCCTGCTTGCTAAATTCAGTTTCCTGTTTCACCCATCTGAAGAAAGCAAGGGAGGAAAGCAGTGATACAAAAATGTATCTTAGGAAACACTAAAGGAAAAAAATACACTGACAACTCAATTAGTCATGATTAGAGCTGTGTTCACAGAGCAGCTTCATACTTAAAGTGGTCCTGAAGTGCGACATTGAAGTCGAAGGCATCGCTCCGGTCTCCAAACCCAATGCCTATGAATGCAGTGCGGCCTTTGAGGAAAAAACATAAAGACAACAATCAAGTTACAGCAGTAATAACAAACAAAATAAACCCACAGGTTTCTCAGAATGACCTGCACACCGTAGCACAAACTGGGTGAAAATGTGCTGTACAGAAACAGAACTTCTGTAATGATCACTGTCCCTGCATTACTTTAAAAATGAAGACCTTTAAAATAAAAATCAGGACTGAAAGAAATTTAAATTATGCAATAAAGTTTTGTCTTTGCGAAACAAATTATGGATACAGCTACTCAACAGTTCAGTAATCTCTAAAACAGACAGTATGTGATTCTATAAAAAATATTTTAAAGGCTTTAAAAAAATATCCAACATTCTTTAATTTAAATTGATTAGACTTTTAAAAAAAACCCACATCAATCCTGATAATTTCGTTGTATCCTGTTCAAACACATTTTTTTTCAATATTTTATGGCTTAGCAATAATTGTTTTACCCACCGTTGTCGTCCATGATGCGCAGCACAAAGTAACGGCTTGAGTCGCTAACTGTTTCCACTGCAACTCCAGGATACTCGTCCACTGGTGCTTGGGCAAAAAGCTCCCCTGAAAAGATATGTGTTTGTTATCAGCTTGGCAAAACAGTCTGAAGGTTTGATGGAAAATGCCACGAGGTAAAGGACAGATGTGAAGGAGAATAATTAAATAAGTGTGGAGCTGGTGAGAATCTGACTGCACTCACAAAAGTCTCTTAAACAATGTGACGATGACATCATTGATGTCGACTGTGTTGAAACTACAGGGCCCTGAAGATGGACTACAAAAAGCTTATTTTAGATACTCACCTATAGCTTTGTATGTTGCAATATGTTTCAGGTGGTTTTAAATAAACAGGAAGATATAGCCTATAAAGTCAGTAAAAATCCCGGTCATACTCAGATTAGTTGGTCATCATGTCCTCACTTACTTTAATAAAGCCCGCCTTTATTAAAGGTTTATGTGATTCAGATCAGATGAATTCATGATAATCTTAAAGGCAGCAACACAACAACGGACATACAGTCCTATGCAAACATCCTGAGTATCCCCTCATCATTTCTTTATATTATCAAAATCTGATGGTACTTCTTTGTTTTCATAATTCAATCGATTTGGACAAGTTCACCAACATCATTGGCTGAAATGCAGCCCCAAACCATGGCAGAGTTTTCTACACGTTTTGGAGATGGCTGTTGTACCTCCTCCGTACATACTGATGACTTGAACTGCAAATTTCAGGTCTTTGCTGTAGTTTTCCCTCTTAAGGACAAGGCTTTCTGTTCATCTGCTTTAGACAGTGTCTTACACCTCCCACTTTTTCTTTTTTCCTCTACTCTCATCCAGTTTACTCATTTTTTAAGGATACACTACACACCATGCTGACATAGGCCAAATTTTTGGGAATCACCTTGCTGGTACAAAAATACTATTTTGTGCTCTCCAACGGTGTTATTTTTGGCATTTACCGTAGATTTAACTAAAGACATGGGAACAAATTATGTGTTTTTGTGACAAAGTGCCTAAAGGTACAAATTAAACTTGGTTCTTTCCTAAGTGTTATGTGTAGACACAACACTGGTTTGTCACTTGAGTCAGGTGTCTTTTTTTATGCTTGAATGAGTCACAGGTCAATGTTAAGCAGCTTAACAAACAAACAGAAAAAAAAACATTTCTCTGAAAATGGTCAGGTACCGGGACTGGACCGAAAATGAACCAAAAAGCAGTCAATGTCCATAAAAAACAAAAAAACAACAACAACAACTTTTGCATGGTACTATAACTTATTCAAGCTCAATTACTGTAAACCTTAAACTCACTTTGGTCATTTTAATACAGCTATGAATCTCTGGCTCTCTTTCACATTGTGTCTTCTCCCCATCACCCCCAGTTGGTCGCAGCAGATGGCTGCTCCAACCTGGGCCTGGTTTCTTCCAGCTAAAAGGGAGTTTTTCCTTCCCACTGTCACCAAATCTTTGCTCAAAAGGGGTTAGTTGATTGGTGGGATTTACACTGCATTATTGTAGGTACTTTACCTTATAATATAAAGCACCTTGAGGTGTTTGTTCTTGTGTTTTAGAGCTAGATAAATAAAATTGAATTGAATAATCTTGATTTTTTAAATGATTTACAGCAGTTCTGTGTCCACATTTAATGGCTGCTATTCCAGGTTCAAAACATATCAGCAGGTTATGTTAATTCAAATTTACACGATCTGCATCACCTATTTGTTATTCTGATTGTTCTGCAGGACATTACTTGTATCCTATGCTGAAGGAGGTAGTAAATAAACCACCTTTCTTTAGGATTTAAAGAATCAGACCAGAACTTATTATTGTTGCCATGTTACGTGAATGGAAAACAAAAGGTGTATTTTACAGAAAACAAGGACATTAAGTTTCGAAAAAATGCACTGATGCAGCCTCCAGACTGCTCACTCGGCTGCAGGCTGGGTCACCTTGGAATCGATGAGTAACAGAGGGGCAGGGTGACAAACAGGAGACTATACAGTGAAGTGATTTACAGCAGCGACAGCCCGGTAAACAATGGCGCTGCCCTGTCTGCTCGTCTCTCACCAGAGACTTTGTCTTCCAATTTCACGTAGGCTACTTTGCCCCGGGCCGTCACACGCATGCGTCCCGTCCAGTCAGGAGCATCCAGCTTCCAATCAGCAGCCCTAAGACACGCACACACACACAGAGGTAGATGTTGTGATGTAGGTGAATTGTTGACAGTTTACTCAGACTGATGTTGACAGAGGAGGTGAATAAGCAAGACACAGGAAAGTTACTGTTATGATTTGTCATACTCAGACACACTCATTTTCTACGTGTGCAAAACGTGACTAAGACATTTCACTGAGACATGGGGATGAAATATTACATCATCACCCTTACTCACAATACATATGGTCAGCGGTTAACCAATCCTGTGGCTCATGGGACCTGAGGCACATGCTACTGTTTGGTTGGTGTAATGTCCAGTCAGAAGCAGCTGCAGCAGGTCATGCTGAAGGACCAGCCAATGAAAAATGGGGTAAACAAACCAATATCGACCTCTTTATAACATATGCATTATCTGCACAGTAAAGACATAACAATGGATTGAGGTGACCACATTGGCTATGAGCCAGGACATCCCATGTTTAACCCCTTGACATGGAGCAACATCAAACAATGCTCAAGCGTCCTTGAGGAGGACTCTAGCCTCTCTGCAGCCTCAGGGATGCTCTTCTGTTTGTACTTAAACGACAAACTAGCGACATTAGGACGTGTAGCACGCTGTTCTCAGCTGATAGCTGATTTTAAGTGCCAGATCTCTCCTGATGTGTCACAGGATGAAAGCACGAACACAGACAAACCGAGAGGGATGTAGCCGATCCGATACAGTCGTTGTTAAGTGGGCTAACAGGGCCCAGTACAACCCTATGACCTTGTAAATACACACCCAAAAACAACCTGCTCATAAACTACCGCCGCCGCTACGTGAGGCTTCGTGACTAGCGGATGAGCTGGGTAGGTTGGTAGGCAGGTCGCTGAGGCAACGGCTTCTAAAGGCAGCAGCAAGCGAGCGCTGGTTCAGAAACCTCCCCCATCCCTCACCTGATAGCCCGGTTAGATGTTCTCGGTGGGATTCGGTAAACGTTGACTTCAGGTTTGACACAGAGGATCGACTCATATTCGAACTGACCATCAGTCGCCATCTTGACTTTTACTCAGTCGGAGTACGCCGGTGGCGGTGATGGTGACGGTGTGGTGTGTCCGCGCCGCGTTAACGGCTATTTGACCGTAATAGACGGTGTATTTGCGCATAAGCGGGTCCCTCTGCGCCATTGCTACCGACACGTTGCTACATTAAAGGGGTGTTACGCACACATTTTCTACGCTAGATCAAAAGGAACAAATCAAATGATTAATAACTCTTGGTTGTATTATGGGATTGTTTTCGGTTTAACTTTAAAATTTTGATATTAAGCCTTTGCTGCTTTGATTACGACCTTTGTTTTTCGACTTTATTGCCAGAGTACAGTTTAAATGTGAAAAACTAGAATAGTTTTTAACCATAATCCACAGTTGTGGGTTATGGTAGCTACTACCTACCGGTAGTTAGCTTATCGGCCCAGAATAATTGGTACTATAAAACTATAACATTAATAATGATTACCGTTCGCAATCAATAACACAATCCAGTATCTGATTGTAAAGTACTTTATTTGACTTCGCTACAGATACAGCAAGCAGCAGCTACCCAATGTTACAAGCCTTGCCACAACTTGAAAGCATTTTTTTCTCAGTTTTTCTAATTCTCAGTTTAGCTCTTGTAGTGATGGTCCAACACCAACATATCTTTTTCTCATCAGACTTAATAATAGACTTAATGCTAACTTCAGAGGCAGCCACAGGTTTGTTTTACAGTCCAAGAAGCTTGAAGGCATCTCTTAAATCTTCTGTGTCACAGGGCTGAAAGAGAAAAGGCAGAACAGGACATTATTATCATTCTGAACACATCATTATTTCGATTGGCCTCATCCTGCTTGCCTGAGGGAAAATATGTTGTGTGTTACATGTTATACCTGGAGGATGCGGTTGAGTTTTCTGGCCAGACGTACTGAGTTTCGATGCAGATCTTCCCAGGCCTTAAATTTGCTTTGCTGAGCCACAAAAGTCTGCCAGCAGTAGAAGAAGTCTTAAAACAATCAGCAAAATAAATAATTGTTACTGATATCCAGGAAAGGATTATTTTAGGGAATAGTGCACAACTCTAAAGTCAAATATGTCTCTACTTTTTCTGTTTATCGCCTACATATGCATAAATTCATTCATCCACCTTTGTAACTCATGACTGTGATGTGCACGCCGACTTTTTTAAGCAGCCTGAGACCCTCTCTTTCACGACTGTCCTCCATGTCACAGAAGTAAAGACGAGAGACAAAGATCCTGAGGCGAAGGTTGGGTGTCTGTTTGAGGAACTGGGCCAGTCTGGAAGAGCAGTTTGCACAGGGAGACCAGGAGCAGAACCAGGTGATGGAGTAGCTGACCCTCCTCTCCCCATGAAATCCATACCCAGATAGACCAGGGCATAATGTACTAAGGTGGCGCAGGAACAGCAGCTGCAGAGAAAAATAAGAATAAAATAATCATTATACAGCCTTCATTCAATTGCTGTTTTCTCTCTTGCTATTGAGCAGACCCTTTTCATATCTTCTCAAACTTTACCTACCTCTACATGGCAGCCATTGCGATTGCGGAGGTGTCCAAAGTCAAAGGACAAGGAGTCAGGCCCTACTCGTCTTTTTACTACAAAACAGAGGTATGTTTCATGCCGGCCCCTTGCCCAGCGCACATTCTTGTAATGATAGAGGAACTTTTTTCTGGGCAAAAGCATACTGAAATAAAGGGAGAAAACATTAAAGAGCACACTGCAGTAGACACAGCACAGATTTAAAAAAACAAGATACAATTTAAAAGCACGCTATGTTGAATTTATCAGTCAACATTTCAGTGCAAAAGGTGTGGCAGCTTTGTGGTGTCAGAAAGTTTCCCTAGTCATTCGCACAATTAATAATTTTACACCACTAAGGTCTGAGACTAATTCTTATTACTACTTAGATGAGTCGCTCATTAATACAAGTTTTATCTCTTAAGTTAGCACAAGTAATGCATGCAAAACCTGTGGTTAACCAAACACAAGTGATGGACAGTCAGAAAGCGGCTTACGTTCACTCACAAACCTTTTCTCACTCTCAGTTTCACGACTTTTAGTGAAAGCAGGACAGTTATTCATCACTTGTTAATACTGAAACCCTGATATAACTCACGAGTAAAGGGTCATAATTATTGAAACAGATTTCCAATGACAAATCTTATAATGGCATCAAAAGTATCGTAGCGTGGTAAAAGAACTATAAAAAAAAACGTTCTTTTTTTTCTTAATTAAGTAGTTTGCACGCACAATTTGGTCAAATAGTTGTTGTTTGGAACGATAAATGCAACATATAAATATAATACATCCATTTTGCTCACCTGTCTAGCTTTGCAATCATTTCAAAAGACGCGCTTTGCCACTCGTCGGGCTTGGGTAGCATAAAGGAAGGTAAATGAGAAAGAGTGAAAGTGTGTGTGTATGTGTGTGTGTGTGTGTGTGTGTGTTGGGGGGTTAAAGGGAGGGAACTGAGAAGATATACCTCTAAACATAAACATCCTGCATACAACACAAGGCAGCATCTGGTTGGACAGAATGATTTTTCAAAGATAATTTGGGGAGGCGTGATACAGAAGAGACGGCTGGATTACACCGTGCTGCTGCTAAGCAATTAAAGTTGTAATTGGATTACTCACTGGCCAAATGTTTTCTTTTTGAATGCTTCGTGGTTCTTATGTTTATTTAAAGAATTTGACATCTGTTTAAACAATGATTAAAGTGAAACCATTCTTTTGGTGAAAGGCAATAAAGGAATTTTATTGGAGGGGGAGATTACACAACGCAGATTTTAAAAAATAATCCGAGTGACCACACATGAGAGGAGCGTTTGACGTGATTTGTAACCTTTGGAGTTTTTACAGACGTCAGTAAATGGAGCCAACTGGATGGAACTTTCCAGACACTTAAGACTCATGCAGTCACAGGCTCTCAACTGTTTGTTTTTGCCATATCATCAAGTAAAAGCTTCCAGATACCGTCTCACCTTGATTTACAGTGCTATTCAGTCTTTTCCACCTAGCTGGTCCCCCCTCCCCACTTCCTCAGGGGCCCCAAGATTTGGTGGAGTTACAGGCGTTCCCAGACGTAACACGTACTTTGTATTTTCATCTGGGTTTTCCCAAACTGTGTCAGGATGGGAGCAGACCTGTAATCGACCCACCTCGTCCTACGTGCCTGCCGGACTGGCTGGCCAGCTGACCGACCACAGCGTGTGGATAAATCGCACTCACAAGCCTTTGAACCTTCAGATGCTGTCATCGGTTCGGTGCCAAATCAGGATGTGTATTATTTTGCTTCTTTTTTGCTCAGTCTGTTTTAGCTCGGGCCCAGTCTGCTCACTCAGTGGCACTGCATGCAGGCATCCTGCTTTCCCATGACTCCCCTCACCCTCTCATGCACTCTGTGGTTTGGGGAATTCACCGTTTCCCAGGGTGGCTGTTTTTGGCGCTCATCTGTGTGTGTATGTGTGCAAGCATGTGTGTGTTGGCCATCTGTATGAGCATGTCATTAACACAGTCTATATGTTATACATCATCTGGAACAAATTTATCTAATTTATCCTGTGATTGTGTGGTGCCCCCAAATTTAGAGTGATTCATGTGTGTGTGTGTGTGTGTCTACATGCACTGAACAACCTCACATCATATTGCATTACTCTGACAGCGCACTAAGCCTAATGTCTCTGCACATTTGATCTTGAGCGCATGTGTCTTTTCTGGACTTCAAGAGGCTGATCAAATGCCAAACTATATGTAACCACTTCCCAACCACCTCTCTGGGTTTGACCACAGTTGACCAAGGTCATCTCACAGTCACTCATGAACACTCATGTGTGCACTACCACCCCTCCTGTGCACTGTATGCATGTGTGTGTGTGTGCTGGAGTAGTACCGTATGGCCAGACATGCATTTAAACCGTAGTCGAGGATGGGGGGGACCGGGTGTAAGAAATGCCAAGTCATACTTTCCGAAACCCACCCGCCCACACCCTGCTCATGCGCGCACAGGCACACACACACATACACACTCACACAGCCATACCGTGCAGACGCATATGACCACAGTCACAAACAGACTTTCTTTCCAGTGTGTGAACTCACATCTGTTTCCTGACAACAATAATAGCTACAGATCAGGCGGGTAGAGGCCCAGCTTACAGGTGTCTACTGTTTGGCAGTCACGTGGAAACAACCTGATGATGACCGAGAAGTGTCACAAGTAAAGACTACAGCTTTTACAAGGCGAAAAAGCCCTGACCACACACTTACTCGTGCATGCTACAACACCGCTGTGTTACTAGGTGTTTCAGCTTTGTCATTTAAGTTAATTAAAGGATGGCGATTTTCCACTATGGCTTGGCTTGCATGATTTAGCAGCAAAGTATAGGCCTATATTTGCCTTCACATCAGGTGTGATATGCCTCCTTCCCACACACATTAACACTGCACAAACATCCTGTGGTGTTTATGTGTGGCAGATTGATGCTATACTGACATCGTCTGAGGTTAGCAGTGGGGTAGACTCGCAATGCAAGCGTGAGGGCTGCTAACCATATTAAGGTTAGCCTCAAGCAGGGGGGTTGTGTGCATTTCCCCACTTAGTCATATAAACTGCCATTCACCTGCAAACCACACACATGCTCAAGTCATAATATCTATGTATAACTTTTACATAGCGTGCTACAATCTCCATACAAATGCAAGCATAACTGATTTTGATTAAATCTTTGTAATAACTCAGTATTTTGGGGATGCAGCTAATAGCTGCTTTCTGCAGAATGAATCTACATGTAGTATTTTAGCGATAAAGTAAATTTAAATGGAAAAAAAACAAAAAATCCTTGCATTTATGATGCTGTGACCCACAATAGCTTCTAATTTTAAAAAAAGATAATAGAGTTTCTAGTGTATAAATTAAAATGAATGAAAGTGGAAAATAATGATTTATTTCCTCTTCATTAAGGAAATATAATGTATAATTAAACAAGAACGCATTGTTAAAGCACTATATATTTTATCAATTAACACTAGCATTAAAGAATGCACTCTCTTTGCGATTGATAACTTTACCATCGCCTAAAATATAACATAGAAAACTAAAAGTGGAAGAAAACGTTATTGAGGTTGTGCTGTTTTTGCAGCCTCATCGACCCACAAGCTATTACGAAGGTGAGCAGCGGCAGTCAGGGAGTGCAGAGATAAAAGTAGATAAATTCTGCATATTCACGAAACCGCACATACTTCCTATACAGTAACTGTACAGCCTCCTACACATCTGTTTGGTTTCACACAAAGAAATGCGTGCAGTCTCACACACTCACACACACACGCGCGCACACACACACGCACCTTTTACAGTGTTGATTTTGCTTAAGAAAAGGAACTGCACAAACACAGCTAACAGATATGAAATGTAGTTATTACTTTATTACAAATGCTCAGAGAACAGCACAGTTGAGGCATGATCATGCAATCTTTGAATGATTAAATAAAGAATCAGTTTTTCATCTAAATGAAAATGACGAGATGATAAAAAATAAAAAACTCAAAACAATGAATCCTCGGGATAGCAGCACATTCAATAAATAATCGAATAAATAACACAAAGATTACAAAAATGAAATACTTGAACATGCTGCCGCAGAAATCAGACGCACTTCTTTACCTTTTAAACTGCACGTGTCCATTATTAAAACTCAATCACAAGTCTTTGTAATACACTTTAGTGAGGGGGTAGCCCAGGAAGCCTCTCTCAGGACTCTCTTGTTTCAGTTCCATATCATCTTCATCACTAGTTTCCACCCCAAGCTGGCGATAACCCAGTTTCCTGAAGAAGGCTTCCCCCAACTTTGAGGGGTAGGGGACGTGTGCATACACTCTGTGTGCCCCTGTCTCCCTCTCTCTCTGCTCCAGGCTTTGGACAAGCAGCCGACCGAGGCCCTCCCTGCGGTACCAGGAGCCTGTCACCAGCCTGCAAATCCTGCTGATGCCCGCTCGTGTCTCGCCCTCCCGGAAGATGCAGCCCAGGATATCTCCCTCACACTCTGCCAGCCAGACCTGCCCTGCTGCCTGCTCCCTCTCTGGAGTGATCTTTTCTGTTGTCGTCTCTTTGTCCTTGTCTTTGGATCCAGCTCGGCGCTTTGGCTGAACAGAAGTAATATTTAGCAACTAGTCTTAAATAAAAACTGCTCCAAAAAAAGTGAATTTCAGCAAGTCAACAGACTAACCTTTTTTGTAAATGGTGTCTTGCCACTGATCCGGCAGTAGGGATTCTGCAGGGTGTCATCCTGTGCCTCTCTGTAGCTGCTACCCACATAGTCCCAGTAGGGCCGGCTGCTGCCCAGGACCCCGGTTGACCGCGGCATGGTGATTTTGAGAAAGACAATTAACAGGAAGACAGGTATAGCAAGGGCCAGGATGAAAGAGTGGACAAGGCAGCGCAGAATTGAGGAAAACACAGCCAGGATGAAAAGGCAGAGTGGGCGAGTGAGGATGTGGAGGATGAGACGATTTTCTGTGCCCTCGCAGCCCTCCTGCAAAGAAATTCATGCACTTTTTTTTAAAAGAAAGGGCACAAACCTCAAAAGGATGTGACTTAATACCCAACATGATGAAGCCCAAAGCATTGTCTAAATACAAACCTTGATAAGGGCTTTCACAATTTCGATGTCCTCCTCCTTCATCCTCTTTATCACCACCTGGTCAAGCTCCAGCCTCACCATATTTAGGCTTTTTGCTCAAACAGCTGGCCTGCTCCAAAGCTGTCTTACGTTGCAAACTTCAGCATCCACACCGTCTGCACAGGGAGCCTTGAAGAGGAGTGGATGGATAGGAGGATGTAATTCTGGGGGCTGGCATTAGTGAAACGCTTGTGGATGATTTTGTTGGACAGTGAAATACTGGTTAGTGTTTTTTTTTTAACACATAGTATGACAAACGTGACGTAGTTAAAATAGGTCAATACATTTCAAAACTATGAAATGGACTAGACTTCGCTTCCACTGAGCCAGTAGTTGCATTGTAACAGCACACCCACGCTGGCTCCAAGCAACAAAGGCAGATGGAGATTATGGGGGATTTGCAGCCTGCAGCACCGTTTTTCAGTACTGTATAATTCACATACATCAAGCTTTCGTCTTTACATTTAACAGAGATCATCAAAGGTACACTCGAAAGCGAAAAGATCTGGTTCAAATCCTTATATGGTTATTACGAAGTGCTGCGGTCTCCTGACACATTTAACCCCCAGATTCGCTTACCTTCTGCACAGAGTACCTCAGATCAAGCTGAAAGGTGGGAAACGCGCTCTGTGCGTTTCTGTTGGTTTTTAGCCCGTGTACGTTTGGTACGTTTCACTGAATGACCATCATA